GGAAACAGAGGCAGACACTTGTGTCTTCCTTTTTTTTTTTTTCTTCGTAAGACTTGAAGTGTTTAAAGATCTCATTTCTAAATTCACATGTAGCCAACCATAAAAAAGGAATCTAAATTTCAGTTGTGCTCCACAGATTCAACATCCACACTAACTTCAGCAGGATCCAGAATTATTTAAAAGTTTAAAAAAAAAAAAAAATCCAACTTGTTCTGCTTAAGGGCTTAAACTTAGAATAGATTTAAGGCTTACGGGTAAAAGGAGTTTGACATTAAAGCATCAACAAAATAAAGTTTATCTCAATTAACAGCATACTTTCATACTAGAAGAGCAGAGCCTGAGAACTGCATGGAAAAATCCAATTAAGGCCTGTATCTCATTTTAATACACTGCTGACTAAATCAGAAAAGATACATTAAAGATGGTGTATTAAATTAGATTAGCTCTACATACCATATTTTAACACTTCCTACCATTTACTGTTAGTGCAAGAACAAAGTAGTTCCATGAGATTACTTAAACCTCTCCAGTTTCTGCAGTTGAATCTCTAGAATTACAGCTCATGTTCAGTATGCAGAGACAAATTCTCTTGAACATACAAGTTTCAAAACAAGTAAGTAAGTCAGCCGAGGCCCTTATAAATTATAAACCAGCCCTCAGTCTGCCATACAACTGGCCACCAATCAATGCCTATGTTTAACAGCTTAAACCAAGATTTTAAAAAACCCACGATATGCTTTCAAAGTTTTCTTCACCCAGCTAAAAGACTTGTCCATTTCAACTCTTAATTTGGTCTTTTGTCCAGTTAGGGTCATGCAGCATTTCTTAATCCCAGAAGATTTATTCCAAAGAAACCATGGACATTATATTGAACTAAGATACCTTGATGAATAATTCTCCTTTTCACCTTGTGACAAAAAGGAACTACCAATGAATTACCATTACGTGATGGTAATCACTGTGACTTTAAGGACCAAATTTCCACAGATCAGACTGATCTCTAAGCCTCAAGTCCATGATATGTGGCATGGAGTAAGAGTTTGTTTCTTCTGTCTCTGAGAAGAACTAGACTAAGCCAAATAATCTCAGCTTCCAAGCATGAAAACCAGTACAGAATTCCCTAGGTTAAAAATAATACATTGTTGGCTGAGAGATTATATTTGTTTAAATTTCTCTCTGCAGCTTTTGCATTAGGACATAGAATAGCTGAGTATCTAAACACACTGCAGTGTTACTCAAGAAGTAACAGATACAGCCTTAAAATAGACTATTTCATGTACCAGTATAACCACAGCAATGCAGAGCTAAGCAGGGGCTAAGTCACTCTGCCATACAGATGCACCCTAGAATGACTAAGGTTTTTAGACAATGCTTACCACAACTACTCAGTAGTGAACAGTAGAAAAGAGTACCTCTGAACATAATATTACACCGTGATATTCTATTCAGCTTGAGGGTATAAGCAAGCTTTATGATGAGGTCATAAAGCAATTTTTATACTGAATTTATGAGATCATTATAACAGTCATTTCCAGAAGCCAGTGACTGGTTTATTAGAAGACAGCCTGTAGCAAAATTGAAAATGTAGATTGCAGAGAAGTTCAACTGCAATACTGGCAGTATCCAAGACTGAAGCACAAAAATTGTAAGGCAAACAAGTAGGGAGGGAAGGTGTAAGCGTTAAGACTTATAAATATCCAAACAAGGACATTTCAGAATCAGCAACAAGAGAAGCATTGATTTACATTAAATTTCATTTGCAAAAATTCACCTTTATTTGAAGACTAGTTTATGCACAACATGCAGGATTGAAAAACAACTACTACTCCTGAATATTCACAACAGACACCTATTGCTAAATCATGAATAAATGACAGCAGAACATTTTCACCACACATACAAATTGTTTAAGATCAATCTTGTTTCTTAACTTAAAAACTCCCACTTGCTTCTTACATTAGTCCTTGTCAAACCACTTTAATTGGCTTGACTATTACAAGATAAACCTTAAAACATAATCAAGCAATCATCTCAAATGGCACTGTGCAGGACACAGGCAATAGCCCACAAGCACTGAATTGTTCTGCAGCAACAGAGAGAAACTGAAGTATCTTTTAAGGAGGTTCAAGGGAACTCAGAAAGATTCATAAATATCAAATATTTTGAGACTCAGGTTCAAAGGGAACCTTGGATCATCTCTCTTGTATATATCCCAGCTTGCTACATATTAGACAGCAATGTTCTAACTGAGCAAAAGTGTTTGCATTTGACAACAAACATATATTCATGTACTCTCAAAGATACCCAGTCTAAAACCAAGCAAGTCAAAACCAAAAATACAGCAAATTCCTCAGAACCCAGCCAAGAAAACTGGACCAGAACACATTCTAATTACATCTTTAAATGCTTAATTGACTCAACTATTTACAATAACTGCCCGATAGTTTGTTTGGAATTTGTCTAGCTTTTATTTTAAGCTACTAGCAGTTCTTACGTTTCTTCCTACTAAAGAGCGCTGTCAAAGTAGACAGAAGTCACAAACAGAAATAAACAGACAGTATTAAACAGAAGAAGTAGACAGCAGGGGAAAAAGAAGGATATAATGCCTTATCACAGAATGACTAGCAGTCAGATGTAATGCAGTCATCTAAATAGACAAATGCAATCTCTTCAGTTATGACAGGTAATTTCTTCTGGTCATTTGCCCAATACCAACTATGTATGTCCATATACATAGAGGCTTAATTATGTGGATAGTCTGGTGAATCGAAAAATACTTCTAAGATATTCTAAATAGTTCTGAACTTCATGAGCATTTTTAATCCAGGTAGATCAAATGGTTGGTGTATAGTAGTTTAATTGGGACAAACTGGGATAAGATTATTATTTATGAGTGTATTAACATGGTAAATAGAAATGCAAGTTATAGAAATGGACATTTGTTTAAATGGAATGAGCCATGACAGTAAATCACCCTACAGATGGTGATACCTTACTGTGGTTTCCTCTCCTCATCTACAATAGACCAATCTTATAAATACTGGAAAAATACAAGTCATATTTTTCCTGTCATGGACGTCATCTGCAAATATATGATCAGAATTATAGTAATTTGAGTAATTAGAAGCATAATTTTGTAGACTTTCTCCAGAGCTTTATCCTGTTGGCTATTCTAACACCCTGATTTTTATTTTTCCCCCACTCTATAAATCATCTCTTCTAAACATTACAAAAAGTGCAAGGTTAGTGCTTAAGCCTGTTTTAGAACAGATGTTAACACAGTAAATTGTTAATTTTGGGCATGCTATGGGAGCTGTACAGCAGTCATACGAATCAGGCTCAATACACAGATAAAGGTATTGAGCAAGGAACCCCTTGATGCTATTGGAATGTGTATTCTCTATTGAACATAGTCTTGATCACCTGCAAGGTCCTTCCATCACAAAATACTGATTAATTAAATGAAAGTTCATTCCATAAACCTAACAACAGAATCAAGCATGTGCATTCCCACCAGACTGTTTCACTATACACTGGTAAAAACCAAGTTCTTGCTTTACAGTTCTCCAACATCTTTGTAATACCATCACATAAGTCATTGTGAACCTGCAACTTCTTGGTTGCCAGGACAACTGGCTGACAAGCAAAAAGTGCACCAAAAGGTTTTTTCATGTATTTGGTGCAAATAAATTCTGCATTCCTGGATTTTTAGTCTGATTTCAAAATAACATTCCCCTTGCTTCCATAAGTCAGAAGTGTCTATAGGTCAGACATTCTACACAAAGTTCTAAACTTAAAAATTAATGCTGGACATTTTACCCACCTAAATATCAAATTGTTTCCTCAATCATGCTGATTTGTATTTACGAGCAATTGGGAAATACCTTGCTATGTCATAAAGCACAAAGAAAGGCTTTACTAACATTTTATCATCTTTCATATGCTGTCATCATCCTTTCTGTACTGCAGAATCAAATGATGATGAATTAGCAGTGCTAATGGTCCAAAAGAAACATACTTAAAAATTAATAGCTTCACCTGTTTATTGATCAAATAGAATTGTAAATAACCTCACTGGGAAGAAAGCAAATTCACATGCAAAGCGAGTTACCGAGAAAAGCAAAGCCTATGTTTGCTTCTCAGCCAAAGACATGCTAAGCCAAATATCGCAGTGTACAACACTCAATCTAAATTCTGACTGAATGAATTAACGCAGAACACAGATCCATGTAGGAAATGTATCAGATACTACAAGGCATGCAAAACATTCACCAAAGCTAGGGAAGAGACCCATGAAGTGCTACAGTACATCTTTGACAATCTTTGCTATTTTCATCTTAAATTAGATCGTCTGCAATTCTGGCCAGTATGAAGCTTATTCTTATTTCACTGCTCAAAACAAGAAGTTTACATCTTCAACAGGTAAGATCTTTAACAGAAAAACAAACACTAGCTTACTCCAGGGAAGACTCTCTCAGTAAGCACAGTGCAGCTTCTACCTATACAATTGTTCTTTCATCCTGCTACTTTTATTTACTTTTCCTTTGGCTCTCTTAACTATTCTGTTTTATTATTTATATGAACACCTCTAAAAGGCTTACTACTGGAAGTGTGAAGATAAGACTTTGATCCCAAACTGTTCAAAAGGTAGAAATCCTTCTGTACATTTTAATATAAGAAAACCAAGAATTCATACAGAAGCACCTTCCTAGAGTACATAGCGTAAGAAAGCAACATGAGGTGAAGAACTGACAATTCCTTGAGTATACCATACTGATAACCAACTCTTTACAATTTCTACTGTTAGCCTGACCTTGTTTCACTTTTTTGTTTGTTTGTTCTAATATAACAATCCAAACACAGAACATCAAGCTGTTCTAAAAAAAAAAAAGGAAAATATTTATGAGACAAAGAAACCTTTATTTTTTAATCACTCAACAAACCATAATACAGTACAATGAAAACCACATCTTTTACTTATTTTGATGTCACTTACTTACCTTCACATGACTGAAGTCACCAACTTTGCTGCTTTCTTGTGGATTAATAGGTTTAGTCTCTACTCTTGGTTTGACAACCTGCCGAAAAGGACTGGAGAGCGGAAGTCCACTCACACTGATTCCATCTAGAAAGAGAATAAATGAAATTACTTTTACTTGTCTAGTGTTATGTTTTATTCCAAATCCATATCTGTATTATCGAAGGGAGAGAAAATACACAAAAAGAAATATTAACATTTTATACAAAAAGGCAGAACAAAAGGTGATGATTATTTTGCTATCTTCTTCTCTAGAAGCCAAAAAAACCCAAACAGGAATACACCTAAAACTCAGTGAAGGTCACAGGAAAGGAACGTATCTGCATTTGAAATATCACAACAGAGATGTCAGAGTTAATAATATAAAATTAGTTTTAGTTTTAAATTTTACAATATTAGAAAAGAACAAAGATAAAAGATTGTGCTTTTCCGTGATAGCGACCCTATCAACTGCTTAATATCTTTAAACTAACTTCAAGTATGAGGCCTGAGAATTCCTTTTTCAAGTATATACTGTGGAAAAGAATAGAAAATAGAGAAGTCATGTTTTGTACCATCTACTGATGTAAAAATAGATAAAATATTTGTCATGACTAACAAAGACAGAATGGAAACTAAGGTTTACATCGTAATAGTCAACAAAGAGCTCAACAGAAATGGATATCCTTAGAGGAATGTCCTCAGTTTGGTATTTACTAGCAGTTTGTGTACTGGCATACAGTATAGCAATAAAAGACAAAATGACAACTTAGTAGTATTTTTTATTGCTGACAAGCTTGTATAACTTGAAGGTAAATAAATACACTGCAGCATATTTGGGTTTCTCAACCTACCAAAGCTATATTCTAAGCACAAACCATTAAGACGTGTGAAAATTACTGGTGAATCAAAAAGTCAGAGGAACAACAAAATTAAAATAATGAAGTTTTAACATACCTTAAAACTAGATTCACAATTTATTATTAACAATTCGTTGTTATTATTTAGATTTACATCCAAAGCCCAAAGAAGAGCAGGATTTTGTTCCTTTATGCTGTGCAGAGCAACTGCAATCTACAAACACCAATTAAATACAAGCAAAATCTCATATATCGCAGCAGATGCATATATCTAAACATACGGGAAACATCAAGTTATTACACAAAGCCCAAGCATACTTCCTCTTTGGAAATTGCTCCTATCAAATTACATTTGCTAGTATCACATTCCAATTCCATGGATGACCTGTTGCAGATACATTCCTCAAAAGAAGAAACCAGAAGAACAAGACGAAGCATGAAATGGTTTTCCTTCAGTAAAATCCAAATTCACAGGTATCCAAATGAGAAAACAAAGGGCATTTCCCATACTTCCAGTTTCCTTCACTATCTAGTTTTAAAATGCACCTTAGTTCAGCCTTAAGGGTACAACACCATGATAAACATCAGATTTAAAAATTCTGATTCAGGAGGCTTACTAGTCAAAAAAAACGTAACAGTTTTTAATTTACAATTAACTTACCTCATATGCAAAAAAAAAAAAGTTAAAAGAAAGATTACTATTTCTCAGGAAATTAATATTTCCATCGCCAACCATCATCAACATCACCTGCTCAATCAAACCAGAGCATTCAATAACTTCCTAAAAGGTCAATAACCTTTACAGATTACAGCAAAAGATGTATTCGCATACACTGATGTACTTCACGTGGGCGAAGCCTGACGATGCTGTATATTTGTACTGGTTTTGGCTGGGATAGAGTTAAATTTCTTCATAGTAGCTTGTGTGGGGCTGCGTTTTGGATTTGTGCTGGTAACAGCACACGGTGGGGAGGGGGAAGTGAGCGAGCGGCTGTGTGATGCTTAGTTGCTGGCTGGGGTTAAACCACAACATTCTCAAGGCCCCCACTGACTTCTGCAGAGGATTGAAGTGAGCGGGCGGCTGTGTGATGCTTAGTTGCTGGCTGGGGTTAAACCACAACATTCTCAAGGCCCCCACTGACTTCTGCAGAGGATTGCCGGAAGCTGAGTGAAGATGTCCAAAATGCCATTCTTGTAGCTGCCACAGTGTATTACTGGCTCCCCAAGGGCCAAGGTACTTGGCCAAGGTACATCTTCAGAAGATACGGGGGTTAAACCACAACATTCTCAAGGCCCCCACTGACTTCTGCAGAGGATTGCCGGAAGCTGAGTGAAGATGTCCAAAATGCCATTCTTGTAGTTGCCACAGTATACTACTGGCTCCCCAAGGGCCAAGGTACTACTCTTCAGAAGATGGTACGAGATGCTACCACTGAAGTAGTGGAAGGAACGATCCAACTCACAGAAACAATTCTCAGTGCTTTAAAGGAAGGGAATTTTAAGGAAGGGAAATTTAAAGGAAGGGAAAATTATTTTGATGGTTCTGGTGACCTTCACACAGAAGCAAAAGAACAGGTAGCCAAATAAAATATGTATCAATTTTTGTGTGGAGTGCATGAAAAATTGCCTTCTTCCCCCTCGACCCACAGCACAAGTTGTCACATTAATGATTAATGCACATTAGATGTAAGCCTTCATGCAACAGTTAGGATGGACTTTGCCACACCTCGTGTTTTGGTGCATGGTTTTGAAGCAAATCTCATCATCATCCCCACTTAATTGGGTTTGCAGAGCAAGTTCAGTGCATGCAAACTAGATTCTTTTTGGAGTAAACAAAATCAAAGACTTCAATCCCAGAGTACAGGTAACGTACTCCAAACCCTAACGGGGTCATAATAGTCTGAATCAACAAGCAGCCCTTCAGACAAATTTGAATCATGTATGCAGAGGGGCTATTTTATCCAGAGGGCCAGAATAAGTCAGGCCTCATGTAAAATACCTGAATCACACCACAGTGTAATGTGAAAGCTTTAGCACCGAGTGCTTCTACCTACCAATCTGTCCCTACTGCATCACCTTAATGTAGATACAGCCTTTAGTCACTAAATCCAGCAATTCTAAATAAGGAATTATAGTGAGATCACCGGGCACTATAGGAACAGAAAAAAGCTGATCAGACGTTATATACTATACATTTAAGACCAGGCATTTAGAGTTTCGTTAGATGTAAGATCCAAATACAGGAAAGCCCCTAATGAATTTTCAGAACCACACAACTTGCAGTCTACCTAAATTAATCAGGGTTGCCAACCATCTGATGGAACTACTCTTTGCCGGTCATATTACAGTTTCCAGCCACCTTCAGACAGCCAACACAGATCAAGCATTCCTCAATGGACACTGAAAGAATTTAAAAGTGAAAGACTAACACTGTATTTTCCAATGTCATATCTTTGCTGAAGCATACTGCCAAAGCATTGAATATCCTGTTGTATCAGTTACCGGGGGAGAGCAGGACAGGCAGCTGAGAACACCCTCCCCGTGCAATGTAGCTTTACTAAAAATTAGTCAAAACTTACTGTGCATTAATTTGTTTATCCATGTGCAAACACTGCTTTGGACTGTTCACTAGCAAATTTTTTAATAGGTTACTGTTAAGGGACAAACATTGAAGTGACTCGCATAGGCTTATCAAAGTAAGAGAAATACATGATGTAATACCCGTTCCATCTTTTAGATGGCATCACAGATGCCAACAACAAAGATAAGGCATCATGATGTCTCAAATTCAAGCAACAGTAGTTCCAGTTACACATCCCAAAGGTTTGTATTGTGATTATTAGCTTGTATGATAATCCATGCATTTTCATAGAATGGTTTGGGTTGGAAGGGACCTTTAAAGATCGTCTAGGCCAAACCCCATTTCACCTTCTTTTTTCACCTTCACTGTTGTTCTTTTCCAGGTTAGCTATGTAACAACTTATACATTAAAACAAAAACAAACAAACAAAAAAACAGCAAAAAAAAAAACCAAACTGAGAGCAACCAGAGCATGAAGAGAACATGTCCACATTGTACTACTTTGAAACGTATGCAGCATTAGCCTGGTTTTCCTCATTGTTAGAATACTTCTTTCAATCCCTATGAACGTTCAAATTAAAAGGTTTTATTAATATTAAATATTAAAACATATTTCTTCCACTTTCGTCCACTGAAGAAAAATCAATCAGCAGCATCTAACTGATAAAAAGCCAGAAGGGGTAAGTCTGAATAGGGGAGCTACAAATGGGAAGGCAATCATATGAGTTATTATATTATTATCCTGGAAAACTAGAAAACACATCAGCTGAACTTAGTAGTATTTATTAATATTCAACTAAAATTAAGAAAGCCTTTCCTCCTATAACTACATTAAATCATGCAGTAATCTAGCCCATGAAGACCAGGGAAAAGGGAGAGAGATGAGGGCACAAAATAATTTCGTATGGGCTAATAGGTATTTTATTTCTAACTTGCACAAGAAATAACAAGGTATCAAACCACTCGTAGACCAGTTCTTAGCATCTCTTAAAAGGCAACTGGTATTAATGCAAACATACTTATTAGCCTAAGATTTGAGGCAATAATACACTAAAAAGTTCTAGACAGCTTGCCAACAAAAATGATCATAAATCTATTTGATAGCAGGCTTTGAAATCCACTCTTTTTTAATTAAAATAAAAAGTTTTACCTGAGGAAAAATAATTCTTTTCAAATTGATGAAGAATTTTCACCAGTTCTATATTTAGAACAAAAGTTGATACCGATGGTGCATAAAATTGCAAAGAAAAACATGAAAAGAACCAAGCATGAAAAATTGCATGGCATTAGTCAGCTTTTCCATTTTACATAAGGCACAATTTTTTTTTTCTTGAGAAAGGAATAGATAATACCTAAAAGAACATCACGGACTTACAACTAATGAATTTCTTAATTGTTTTATCTTTTAAAAACACATTCTCTTTTTAATTTTCTTGGGGGGGGGGAGACAAAGGTTGGTTTAAACCTTTTCTCTGGGGAAGGGAGAATTTTTTTAATCTCTACATCGTACCTGCAAAAGGAGGTATGATAGCAAAGTAAACATTGATTCTGCTGCAGGCTAAGAGGAAAGTCTAAGGTAACCACTGAGTGGCTGAACTTTCTGTTTCAAGTCTGTGGCACTCAAACATGGCATATAACAGAGCCTGGTGCCAGGCACTGTGTTATACT